AACATTCATTTTGTCCACTATTAATACAATTGTCATGCTTTTCACAGCACTATAGTTTACTTCCATGAATCTGTTATCTGCATTATCAGTGCAACTCACTTTCCCAAGAGAAATTTTAATTGTTACTTCTTCTCACTCAGCCTTAAGTTTCCTGATTAATCCACTACAGCTCCTTGACCTCTTGATTATCTATACATTCTGTCTCTGTCACAGTCCAGGACTCAGCTTACCCTAGTGACATTTTTGTTCAGGGATTCTCAACTTTGTTCCTGTCCCTGCCTGCTACCCAGCTGTTCCTTGCAGTTCTCGACTTCATTGATAGGAAAACTGAACAGTTTTGACCCTCACCTTAATTCAGAATAACTCAACCAATAACTCCAAATGACATTTGCTACTCCACCCTCTGATTCTCTGCCGTTTCTGGCAGGCCCCAAGTGCTTGATTGCCCCTATTCATTCCAGCCACATGCCAAGTGGTCATCCTGATTTTTCCTACAGATATACGTAACTACAGTAGTGAGGGGATGGTGTATTGGCAAATGCAAGGGTGTCCTTTAAGCCTTAGATCTTCCCTAATATTGAGCTTGGGGCCTGGAGTCAAATGATTACTACATGCCCTATATTTGCATTGCATCTGTCAGTTTACAAAGCCACTTCAGATATGTCATATTCGCAGAAGTGCAGATGTGGTTGTTTGCCTACTCAGCAACCCTCCCTCTTTCAACTTCCTCCTCACAAAGAGAATGACCATTTTCTTCATTACTGCCCTCCATCCAATGGCCATATACTACAGGTGTTGTATGTCATCCTCCTCCTACCTCTACCAGTTTTGGGGATTTTTTCTTTATATGCATGGGCAAGTGACATAAATATGGCAAGAAAGAGTGAAAGAAAGTCTGCTGTGTGGGGTTTTGGAAAAGGTTTCCTTGCCTTTAAAAAAAAAGACTCATTGATGAGACAACCTCTTTTTTTTTTTTTTTGGCTCTGGAGAGTGCAGTGTGTGGATGTAATTTCTGGGCCCACTAATGTCTTTTAAGTGTGGAGAAAGAGTGTCTTAGGTTGAAGCCATTGCTGGGAATGGCAGAGTGGGCACATAAAAGAAAGTTATATCCTTTGTAACATTCTTGAGCTGTTTTTCATACGGTACCAAAGTCCCTACCTCTGGACTGCCAGGTATGTATTAGTAAGCCCAGGAGAGTCTGATTCCACCAAACTTTGAAAGACACTGACTTCTTTTCTTTTTTTGAGTTGGAGTCTCACTCTGTCGCCCAGACTGGAGTGCAGTGGCAGGCTCCTGGCCACTGCAGCCTCAACCTGCTGTGCTCCGGCGATCCTTCTACCTCAGCCTTCCAAGTAGCCGGAACTACAGGTGCGTGCTAACACGCCCGGCTAGTTTTTGATTTATTGTAGAGATAAGGTCTTGCCAAGTTGCCCGGGTGGGTTTCGAACCCGCGGGCTCAAGCAATCCTCTCACCTCGCCTCCCAAAGTGTTGGGATTACAGGCTGAGCCACTGAGCCCAGCTGACACTGACTTCTAAGTCCACAACTATGAACTTTCTCCACCATTCACTTGCTAATGGAATCTAGTTGTTTATCTGTAAAGAGGGTAATAATATCCACTTTAAAGCCTTATTGTAAGAATGTAGGGTTGGCATTCAGGGGTATCCAAATAGGAAAAGAGGAAGTCAAGCTATCTCTCTTTGCAGACAACATGATTCTATACCTTGAAAAACCAGGAGAATCTGTCAAAAACCTCCTGGCACTAATAAAGGACTTTGGCAAAGTCTCAGGGTATAAAATAGATGTGCAAAAGACAATCGCATTTCTATACACCAATAATAAACAAACAGAAACCCAAATAAAAAGTGCAATTCCATTCACAATAGCCACAAAAAAATGAAATACCTTGACATCTTCCTAACCAGAGATGTGAAAGATCTTTACAATGAAAACTACAAAACACTGCTCAAAGAAATCAAAGATGACACAAACAAGTGGAAAAAATACTCCATGCTCATGGATTAGAAGAATCAACATCGTTAAGATGTCCATTCTATCTAAGGCAATCTACAGACAATGCAATATCCATCAAATTACAAGCGGCATTCTTCTCAGACCTAGAAACAACAATACAGGAATTCATATGGAAACATAAACAACCAAGAATAGTCAAAACAATTCTCATGGAAAAAAACAGGCCGGGCTCGGTGGCTGAGACTGTAATCCCAGCGCTTTGGGAGGCTGAGGTGAGTGGATTGTCTGAGCCCAGGGGTTCAAGACCCGCCTGGGGAACTTAGCGAGACCTCAGCTCTACAATAAATCAAAAATATTAGCCAGGTGTTGTAGTGCACGCCTGTAGTTCCAGCTACTTGGAAGGCTGAGGCGGAAGGATCGCCTGAGCCCAGCCGGTTGAGCCTGCGGTGACTGGGAACATGCCACTGCACCTCCAGTCTGGGTGACAGAGTGAGACTTCAACTCAAACAAACAAACAAACAAACAAAGCAGGAGGTATCACACTACCAGACTTTAAACTTTATTATAAAGCTACAATAATCAAAACAGCCTGGTATTGGTACAAGAACAGGCCTATAGATCAATGGAATAGAATTGAGTTTCCAGAAGCAAAACCTCAATATTTCAACCAACTCATCTTCAACAAAGCCTCCAACACCAACCACTGGGGAGACGAGAACCTATTCAGTAAATGGTGCTGGGAAAACTGGCTGACCACATGCAGAAGATTAAAACAGGACCCCTACCTATCTCCATACACAAAAATCAACTCGAAATGGATCAGAGACCTAAATGTAATACCTCAAACTATAAGAAGCTTAGAAAATGCAGGAGAAACCCTTATGGAAATTGGAACTGGCAACCAATTCCTGATCAAAACCCGAAGTGCCCATGCCATAAGAGTGGGACTTCTTCAAACTGACAAGCCTCTGCAAAACCAAAGAGACCATCAAGAGAGCAAGGAGACAGCCAACAGACTGGGAAAAAATATTGCCAACTCCATGTCTGACAAAGGCCTAACACCTAGGATCTACAAGGAACACAAACGTGCTGAAAAGAAATAAACAAACAGCCCCAGTACAAAGTGGGCAAAAGAAATGAATAGACACTTCTCAAAAGAAGACGTATGAGCAGCCAACAGATACAGAAAAAAGGTTCAGCCTCACCTAGTCATCAAGGAGATGCAAATTAAAACTACACTGAGATACCACCTAACTCCAGTCAGAATGGCCATCATCAATAACTCAAAAAATAACCGATTCTGGAGAGGATGTGGCAAAAAGGGAACACTTCTACACTGTTGGTGGGAGTGTAAACCAGTACAGCCTCTGTGGAAAGCAAGGTGGCCATTCCTAAAAGTTCTAAGAATTGACCTTCCATATGATTCTGCAATCTTCCTACTGGGAATATACCCGAAAGAATGCAAATCACTCTGAAAAGGATACCTGCACACGTATGTTCATCGCAACATTGTTCACAATAGCAAGAACATGGAACCAACCGTGCTGCCCATCAAAAGAGGACTGGATTAAAAAAATGTAGTACATATACACAATGGAATATGACACAGCAAGAAGAAAAAAATCATGAACTTTGCAGCAACCTGGATGGAATTAGAGTCTATAACACTGAGTGATCTTTCACAGAAACAAAGAACTGAATATCACATGTTCTCACTCATAAGTGGACCTTGAACAACCACTGCAATATTATAAGAAAAGGATTGACTGTAGCAGGAAACTGTTGTGGGGGGAGGCGGAATTGACAGTAGTGGAAATCTACCTGGGGAGGGTTACCTGCGCCGTGAATATTTGTATACCTAACCCTGACATGTACCCCACAATTTTAAAATTAAAAAATTTTTAAGTTAAAAAAAAAAGAATGTAAGGTTAAGAGGATTTGATGAAAGACTGAATCTGGATGTGAGGCCCACAAAGTCTCCCAAGATTGCCTGCTGCTAGGAATTGTCACATTGGTTATATAAGCACATTCCAGGCTCCAAGTGTGATGGTCAGGCAGGTTTGAATTCAACAAGACAGACACCATGTGACCGATACCCCTATGCAGTGGGACTTGGGGTTTCTGGCTTCCAGTTCTAGGTCTGACATGACTCCTCTCGGGTAAGTAGCTGCACCTTTCTGAACCTATATAACCTACAGGTCTATGGTGTCCAAAGGCTCATTATATTCGGGGTGAAGGGACTCCTCTAATCTCAGTATTTTTATGTTGCTCTAATGTGGATTTGTTAGACATAACGATGAGCAAAATTAGGATTAGAGAGGATGTTGGCAGATCCCCATTCTGGCTGAGGACATGAGGACAAACGGAATGCTTTGTGGTAAGATTACCTGCGTGCTGGTTAAGGGACGGCGGCTTCTCCATCCTGCCACCCCTAGCACTGATCCCCTGATCCCGCTGCCCCCGGAACGGGACGTAACTTGGGGTGATTACCCTCGGCGACTTGGACACACTGCTTGAGAGCTGTGGAAAAAGCCTAGAAAGGCTAAAATCATGAGTGTCTGGAGAGAGGGGGTTGGGGTGAGAGCCCCAGATTCGCCTTTTCCCCCCTAGGGTACCTTGCACCGAACACTTTCAGTACGTCTGCACGGGTGTTAAAAAAGAAGAGAGGAGCCTCAGGAGGAATCCACACACAGAGTTGGTGGCGCTGACCTCCTCACGTGGGGGCTTCGGGGCCTTCAAGGCGCACAGGTGGCCTGACCTGGTCGCAGGCGAAAACCAAGTCTCCCACGCTCACCTTTCCGAATTCCGCTGCGGGAGCTGCGGGTCACAAGTCCCGAGCGCAGCCACAGAGGTCGGCGGAGCCGGGCTCCACCCTAGGCCCTTAACTCCTCCCAGCGCAAGCAAGCCCGGCCCCCCAGGAGGCGCGCCCTCCGTGTTTGAGCCTCCTCGGCGCCCGTAGCTGTGAACTTTGACCCCTTCTCTGCGGCGGGCTCCTGGGCTCGCGGGGCCCATGCGCCGTGTGCTCGCATGGTGGGCGTGCTTGTTCTGGCCGCCGCGGCGGGCGCCGTGGCGGGCTTCCTCCTGCTGCGGCTGTGGATGGTGCTTCACCCACGGGAGGCCGAGCCCCGGAAGTCTCTCAGTATCTTGGTAGTGGCTGGGTCTGGTAAGTATAGAGGAGGGGGCGGGCGAACTACAGACCCCAGAGCTCCCCGCGATGCTCCTCGCGGTTTCCCCAGCCCTTCTCGGGGCGTCGCATGCCGGGATTTGTAGTTTCTCTGCGTGGCCGCCACTGGTCAGTCCGGTCGGGGCGAGGCTGCTTTGCGGACGCCGCCCTGGCGTCTTTTCATGGCAAGTGAAGGATTAATTTACACTTATTTGCAATTAAGCCTCCCTATAGCGTCTACTTTTCTTTCTTTTTTTTTTTTTTTTTTTTGAGTTGGAATCTCACTCTGTCGCCCAGACTGGAGTGCAGTGGCCGCTCCCGGCCGCCGCCTCGCCTGCTGGGCCCCGGCTACTCAGCCTTCCGAGTAGCCGGAATTACAGGCATGCACTACCACGCCTGGCTGATTTTCTTTTTTTTATTTATTGTAGAGATGAGGTCTCGCAGCCCAGACGGGTCTCGAACCCGCGGGCTCAGGCACTCCACTCACCTCAGCCTCCCAAAGCGCGGGATTACAGGCTGAGCCACCGAGCCCGGCAGTGTCTACTTTTCTAACATGATTAGTGAACAGAGAGATTGTAGGAGCCTTTTGATGTCACATGCAGTTTCCCCGGATGGGTGTGGTCCACTATTAGTCTAGGCATATCATATTTAGTTTAAGAAACACGAATACTCCATACAAAATTAGGCGATTGTCACATTTATAAGTGTGCAGAGTCCACGAGGATAAACACAGTGATCTGCGGACCGTAGAACAGTACACACCGGTAGCCGAGTGTGAGCAACAAACTGTCCTGTCAGGTAAAGCCGGCTCAGTCCATCAGCTCTGTGGGCGTCCACTAGTTCAGGTGGACAGTTTTGGCAGGGGCGCACACAGCTTTATTCAAGGACGAAGTGTGAGGGCAGCTATCTGGGGAGCAGACCCATACCACAGAATGATGATCAGAGCTCCCCACGTAGGGAAAAGTGAAGATCGTTTCTATAGGTTTTGTTTTGTTTTGTTTAAGTCATAGTTTCACTCTGTCGCTCAGGCTGAAGTGCAGTCGCGCCGTCATGGCCACCGCAGCCTCGACCTGATGGGCTCAGATTAACCTTACACCTCAGCCTTCCAAGTAGCAAGAACTACACGGTTGCGTCATCACGCCCAGCTAATTTTTTGACTTATTATAATGAGACGAGGTCTCGCCAAGTTGCCCAGACTGGTCTCGAACACCTAAGCTCAGGCAATTCTCTCCCTCGGCCTCCCAAAGTGCTGGGATTACAGGTGTGAGGCCCCGTGCCTGGCCATTTATGTAGATAAAACGGAGGTGCTGTGCAGAATTATGACATTTTTCCTTGCAAAAGCTGACACACAGACGATGTGGTTGGGGCCATGGAAACACTTCGCCTTTACCCTCTGAAGATTCACTGACAAGAGGCAGAAATAATAGCAGAAAAGACATACAAAGTTACTAATGTGTACACAAGAACTTTCAGAATGAAGACCCTAAGAAAAGGGAAATTGTCCATTTTTATGCTTAGGTTCAACAGAGTATGGACAGCCTTATAGAAATAAGATTGGACAAAGCGGCATGATATAGTACTAATAGACAAAGTAGGGAAACCCAGCAAGGCCTGTATTCTGCCTAGATTCTTCTTGGCCTAACTAGCGTTCCTTCCTTCTGGTTATGGGGCAGGACCCTCTCTGAAATGGGGATCTTACGACCTACAGACAAACAAAGAAGGTCAGATCATTTCCTTATGACCAGTTTTTATATAGAAAGGCAATGGGGAAATTAAAGTAATATTTTTTGGTTTTATGACTAACTTTGGGAAGAAAAGGTTCTGGTGTGTATGATCCACCTTGGGGAAGAGGTATCCTAGTTTCTATGACTGGCCTCGGGGGAGAACGAGACTCAGGCAGGAGAGCAGGAGGTCAGAAAAACTTCTGAGGCTACATCTGGGCCTTCATCTTGGGGTGTTGTTTTCTGAGTCCCAACTCTGCTACTGATTATACTTAAGGAGTTTGCTTAACATTGTGTTGTGGAGAGGTCACAATAACAACATCTCAACACAAAGGTCAGGAAGCAACAGTCACACACCAGAGAAAAAAACAACTGTGTTACCTGAGTCAACTTGTAGCACTTAACTTTTCTCCTTGGTATAATACATTTGGAAGGTCCTGAAGTGTTGTTGTCTTTTTACATAAGCATTTTGTAAATGGTGACTGTTGTTAGTTTTGGTAGCAAGATCTTTTAAAGGTTCTTTGTTTGGGGGGGTGGTTTGTGTGTGTGACAGGACCTCACTATGTCCTCACCCCTGGACTCAAGCAATTCTGCGTCAGCCTCCCAAGTAGTTGTGACTGTAGGCATGCCCCACTGCACCTGACTGGAAGTATTTTTAAATGGAGGGTCACCCAATCTGAGCATTCACAAAGATCAGTCAGCCTGCATTGTCAAAAGAATGTCATGACAAAAAGTGAGGTAGAGAAACAAGTAGGGACCTTTTGAATAATTCAGATAACAGGTGACGACAACCTGACTGGAGTAATAGATATAAGGATGAAGAGAAGCAGGTGCCCTCAGATGAGATTAGGAGATTTTAGAAGATAAATTTGCAACTGTGAATGGAAAGTAGAGGGTGAGGGAGGGAAGGACTAATGAATATTTCCCAGGTTTCTGGCTTGAACAAGTGGATGAATGAAGCCATTCACTTGACGGTGTTACATTTGGTGAACTAAAGAACAAAACTAAGACTGAGTGGTGTCCTCATTCAAATCACTGCAGACTGGAAGAGCTCAAGGGCCTGAAAGAATTCTGCCAGTTAAAGACTTACAATCAGATAAACAGTTTAATAGTGTTTAATCATGCCCATATTTTTGGAGGAGGAAGAAGGTATTCTCAGTATTTACCTTGAAGACCTTAAAGATTTACCATTTAATTTTTAAATACCACAAAATATTATTAGTTGACCACTTATGTTCATAGAATATTTGTAAAAGCTACTCCTTTTCTTCGGCACACAATATGGTCTCCTTAGGCAAATTTTAGACTTAATATGAAACTTTCATTCATTCACTCAACAATATGAGGGCCTGCTATTTTCTAGTCACTGGCAGTACAGCAGTAGCAAAATGAGCAAAATCCCTGCCCTCATGATGCTTGCCTTCTAGTGAGACATGAACAGAGACAGATAAAAAGGCAAATGAATAGACTTCATAGTAAAGTATGTAGTGATAAATACTATGAGAGAAAGGAGTTGCATTTTAAAAATAATTGTCAGGGAAAGCCTTCCTAGGGAGATGACCACCAACAGCAAGGAGGCCAGAGTGACTGGCGCAGACTAAGGGGGAGAAGCAGGAGCCAAGGTCCAGAAGGTAACATAGTTGGGATCTGTATACAAGAAGCCTTTTATTTCACATGAGATGTGAAGCCAGTGGAGGGTTTTGAACAGAGGTAAACAATTTGATCAGTGCTTTCTAATAGAATCATACTGGATGCTGTGTTGAAAGACTGAAGAGGACATGAGTGGAGGACCACACCAGGAAACCTCATAACCCATGTGAGAGGTGATAGTGGCTTGGAGCAGGATGGTAGCAAAAAAGGTGGTGAGGAGTGACCAGATGCTGAATAAATTTTAAGGTAGAACCGAGACGCTTTTATTCCCAAAAATATATCTTAATAAAAGTAAAATAGAAGACAAAGTCCATCATTTTAATGACTTTATTCAGTAACACTGTTACATTTTCAGTGGATGTATTGTCCACCTAAAAATTAAAAAAGCAGATTCTTCAAAGACAATAAGTTCTTCAGGAATGAGCATTGCAATGTGGAATGCACTAGCCATGGTAAACTCCAGGCGTATCCAGGGAGGCAAGGGAAGACAATAGTTTTTAAAGGTAAAATGAGGGTTGCATAATTAGTTTTAAAACAATTATTTTTGGTTACAAGGATCAGTAACGAGTGGCATCAGTGCAAGGCTGGACAGGCAGTTGCTGGGCAGATGTCCTTGCAGAAGTATTTTTTGTGTGTAAGTTTGCAGTGGCCTTTGTGCAAGATTGCCTCTTGTGATAGTTCTTTTCTCCAGGCAGTGGTGCATGAAAACCCTCACATCATATTCTTCCTCAGCTTCATTTTGTCAGGATTTGACACAAGTGACTTCCATTTTGACTCTGACAAGTTTCAGTGAGGGTTTTCTTATTTTTTTGAGTAGGAATGTCACTCTGTCTCCCCCGCTGGAGTGCAGTGGCACACTCATGGCCACCGTAGCCTCGACCTGCAGGTTCAGGTGATTCTTCCGCTTCAGCTTTCCAAGTAGCTGGAACTACAGGCACACACCACCATGCCCAGCTTATTTTTTTAAAAATTTACATTTATTGTGGAGATGAGGTCTCACCATTTTGTCCAAGGTGGTCTCAAACCCATAGCTCAGGCAATTCTCTTGCCTTGGCCTCCCAAAGTGCTGGGATTACAGGCGTGAGCCACCATGCCCAGCGAGGGTTTCCTTTTTAAAAAAAGAAGAAAGAGCTGGGTGCAATGACTCACTCATGTAATCCCAGCACTTTGGGAGGTGGAGGTGAGAGAATTGCCTGAGCTCAGGGGTTCAAGACCAGCCTGTTCAGTATAGTGAGACTTCATCTCTACAAAAAAAAAAAAAATTAGCCAGTTGTGAAGGCGCAAGCTGTGGTTCCAGCTACTTGGAAGGCTAAGGCAGAAGGAGAACCTGAACCCAGCAGGTCGAGGCTGTGGTGGCTGTGAGCGTGCCACTGCACTCCAGCCTGGCAGACTCTGACTCAAAAAAAAAGTACAACAAAACCCTAGTCACCTGACAAAATTTAAAATGTCCTGCCAGGCACAGTGGCTCCCGGTTGTAATCCCAACACTTTGGGAGACGGAGGTGCGAGGATTGCCTGAGCCCAGGAGTTTGAGACCAGCCTGAGCAACATGGTGAGAACTCCATCTCTACAATAAATCAAAAATAAGGTGGGCATGGTGACACATGCCTGTAGTTCCAGCTACTTGGAA